GAGATTCCTGGTGTCCCTCTGCTCAGTGAAGAGATGAGGGAAGAGCCCCAGAAACATTAGCCTTTAATGATGAGCGGCTGAGCTCAAGCTGTCAGTTTAATCATACCTTAAAGATAACTACAGGTTACAGCTTTATTTGAATGGAAATCTCTGTCATCACTTTAAGTGCATTCTTAGCCCATTTCTTTTCGCCCACACCTGCCTATAACTTATGCACAGCACTGTGTGTATCTCCTCTCGTTGTGCGACCTCACTCCCAGCGTGGCTGGTGTAACAGCCAGCGTCTGTGAGAACAAAGCAAATTATTTTGAAGCATCAGTGAAAATCCTCTGCCACCTGCAGCTAAAACTGTTTACTGCCTTCCATCCCGTCCTGGGCTTAAGTTTAGGGCTCATTTCCTCCTGGAGCTCCTACCCATGCCCACCTCCTCACACCTCCTCCCAGTCGTGTTGATTAAGCAGCTTCTCTAGCCTAACATCTTCCATTAAATATGGATTAATTACTCTGAATCCTTGTTAAGCTCAGTGAAGAACCCCTGCATTAATCAGCAGTTATTTTTAATGAGAGGAAGGGAAGTCTTAATATTCGCTCACACACATATATATAAATATATATTTTTACACTTTACACCTCTGACACTATGATCAGCCAAACCACACATCTTCACATTTGTATTAACTGATTATTTTATGGGATCTCCAAAGCTGCGATTCTCAAACTTTTTCTTCAAACCCCTCCCCCCTTTTGTTGAGCCCCCTCTCCACGTCAACACATTCAGCGCTAGTGTTTCACATCACCACTGAACTTTTCTCTTCCTAATGCACTGTAGCAACAAACCTGTAGACAAATGAGCAGAATTTCTCTTTTTTTTTCTGGACAAAGAAAAATCATGAGTTGAATTTTTATTTTCATCTTTAAATACAACTGGATGAATACTAGACAACCAGTGACAGGCATGTCCACTGCTGGGACATCCAACCACGTCCCAACATACGGTTCCAGTGTTTGTCACATGTGAAGACTACCTTTGGTAGTGAAATTATTAGAACAGTGTTAGAACCAGAACAAGTCCTGTTTTTATGTAATGCCTCACACACAGTCTCTCTCTCTCAACCCCCCCCCCCACATTCATAACCCCCCCCCCCCGACCCCCCCCCCCCCCCCCCCCCCCCCCCCACACACACACACACACACAAACACACAAACATGAACGTGATGCCCCGAGCACTCAGCATATGCCCTGCCATTAGGCTGTCAGTTAGTCAGGCCAATAGAATAAGTGCCATGGATTAGACGCGCGCACACACACACACACACACACTGTGCAGGAGGATGGACAGAATACTAAACAGAGTTGAGCAGAGGACTGACAGAGATCCTGTCATAAAACTCTGTCCCCCTCCATCTCTCTTTCGGTCTCTCTCCCCCCTTTCTCCCCCCACTCTTTCTCACTTTAACACACGCAGCCAGGAAAACAATTACAGCCACTCAGTCAGTCGATAACACTGAGCCATAATCAGATTTGTGTCATTTTCCTCTTTCTTTGACCTCCTCCCAGCATCCTTTTGCCTTTGCTGTTTCCTCCCTTTGCTCCGCTCCTCCTCATCCAATAATATGTTTCTGTTCTTCTGTTTTTTTTTGTTTCCTAAGCCTCAGTCTTCCTTAGACAGGAAAGACAAATGAGGGAACAAATGAGGGGACAAACTCTTGTCCAACAGTCTTGTCCTTTCACCCCCTCCTTGCCTTCCATCTCCTCTCCTCCTAGTTTTGTCCATTTCTTTCTCCTTGTCACCTTTGTTCTCCTTCTCCCAGCCTCCTTAATTCCCTCTTTCCATTCCTATCACCTCCCCTTCTTCCTCACCTGTCTCCCGCTGTTCCCCCCTCTCTCCTTGTCCCTGACGTTCTTCTTTTCCTCCTCTAATTTCATTGCTTTGTTCTTTTCTTCCTCTCATCCCTCTCGTTCCCTCACCTCCACCTTTGCTCGTCTGTCCTCTGATTCTGTCTGTCTGTGGACGACCGGACAATGTCTCTGTGTCTCTGTCTTATCACATAAATGACTCGTAATTGGGGGATTGAAAGCCATTTTGATCAGAGCTCCTTGTGTCCTATCGGCATGTCTCCCAAGACAAACCGTCAAGGAGAGTTTGGGGGTTGGTGGGGTGGGGGTGGAGTAGGAGGAGTATGGGGTTGGTGTCTTCATCTTTCTCCTTTCATTCCTTTTTCTCAGTCTTTCCTCTCCTGACCTTATTGCAAAAAGAAATTTAATTAAGTGGGACATAAACTGTAAATTGCTTTTCCTCAAAGCACAAACACCCACACACGCACACACACGCACACACACGCACACACACGCATACCTCATCCTTCTAGTGGTCACCTCCTGATTTAACCAGATGTTTGGCAGCTATTGGTCAAGGCTAGAGCGTGTCCACACATCCACTGCTCATAGACGTGGTTCATCACCAACGTTCCTACAGTAGCATTCACCATCCTTCCCAAAATGTCTAATCCTAATCCTTATCCTGAGCAAATTCTAAAATCAGTGCTTCCTAAAGTGGGGGACGCGGCCATGTCACAGGTGCAAAGTGATTCAAGGGCATGTACAGCACTAATGAAGCCGACCACAGCAACTTTTTTCCAAGTTGCAAAAATAAACAAAAATGTCAAATTTATTTTCATATGTTGATATATATATATATATCTGTGTGTGTGTGTGTGTGTGTGTGTGTAATCCATCCATATATTCTCATCTCTGTTTGACACTGTAGTTCACAGTTCTCCAGCACTTGTTCATTTTCACCTGTTTCTTGTTCCCGGAAGTGCCATAGCGCCCCCTAGAGTAAGAACACTACACACTATTGACGATTAAAGATACTTTCATTAGATGTATATTTTTTAATCAAAGTGTGGTAATTAACAATGTTATGTAAGTGATAGAAATATTTTGTAACAAATAGTAGTAGTACTGTGTGTACACTACTATTCTGTAGTATATCCACTTCTGGTCCTGTACCAGTGGAGAGCAGAGTCAGTTCAATAAATATGATTAAAAGCTGAGGCTCTGAAGAATTAGAAACCTATTCAAAGTAAAGAGGCCACAAATGAAGTCTGTTTGACTGACAGCCCTGTGAATGGACGAGACCAGAGTTGGTTCTGGTGTGGGAATGTCGCCCCCCAACGGCACAAAGTGAAACTGCTGTCAGCGATACACACATCTGCGCTCCAATCTCCCCCTCCCTTTTCCTTTCTCTCCCCTTCCTTCCCCCTTATCTTCCCTCTTCTGTCACAACACTTTAATTTAATGTTCAGATAAACATTAGGCGCAGAAACACCCCCTCTCACAGGTCACGGGACAAATCACTCATGGTGTTGACACAAAAATATCCGTCTAGTTGTCCTCTTTAAATATGTGTCCCTCTAATAAAAGTCTTTATTTGAAGTATGATGAAACCAATGTCCTACTCCGTGGACACATTTGATCTGTTGGTCACTTTATTTCTCCTTGACGCACAGTCGACCCTTGGAACTGTGGGAACGGTTACGCACGGTGACAAAAAGCTGCTCTTCTCCCGTGAAGGAGAGAAAAGCCGGGGACAGAGACAGAGACGGGGGAGTGGAGGGAGGAGGTGCAGCGTTCAGGGCCAGTCTTCCCTTCAAAGTATCCTTTTTGCAGCCTTACAAGTTATGAATACCAAGCAGAAGGTGCCGAGAGTGAAAGGGAGGACAGACACGGAGCCCGCAGCCGCTGCCGCCGCGGTCCGATGGAAACAGCCTTAGATGTAAACCGTGTTTGTGTTCGTTTTGTTGTTGTTTGTTAACTCGTTACTACAGTTAGAAGATGGAAAATGTTCTAATTGTTTGACAGAGTGTGGAAGTGAGAGAGGAGTGGGGAAATAAGAGGGTTTGAACTGAGACACAAGGTTTTCACACGGTCCAAAGAGCATTACAGTCACTATATCCATTACACAGTCGTTGTATAATTTAATAACTTTTATGTGAAAAATAATTTAAATACGCCACATGATTTATTTATTTTTATTTTTGATAGTTTTATTTTATATAAAACAAGAACAGATTCTACATCCGTCCTGCTACAGCGCTTTAGTTTTTTCAGAATTGTCTAATGGTTAGTTTTAGCTCTCTAATAATAATAATAATAATAATAATACCTTAAAAAATAATAAGAGTGACGAGTCTCTAAACCTCTGGTGCGTAACAAGTGCCGCGGCGCAGATAGAGCTGCCGCGGATTGTGGGACTATTTTTAAACAATAACTCAAAAAATGGCACAAAACATAGCCGTTTATAGACGTCACTTTTATATAAACAAAATAAGTTTAGAAGAAATATTTCTCCCCCTTTTTTTAAATGGATTTGAGTATTTCAGCACCAGGGACAGCGCCGTTTGGTTCCAATAATTTCAAAATAATCACCAGCTCTGGTAAGAAAAACCAAGACACGTCTTACAAAGAAAACCTGCTTCTTTTGTTTCTAATTCAACCCCGGCTCCACTCCGACACGCAGCACATGTGCAGCCGAACGTTAACAGATCAACAGGACACGCGGCATTGACGGAGCCTCAGCTCTGTGCTGAGAAGATCCAGAGACGCAGCGGAACTTCCACTGCCGCTCACAGACCGGGGAAGCTGAGCCACACGTGCTGCTTCAGCTCGGACCCGTGCTCCACCTCCATAATCAACAGCCGCCCGGAGCCAAGTCTATAAAAGAGTGATTTATGGCCACTCTTACTTCCATGATGCTCCTCTCGTAGCAGACACGGCCCCGCGCGTAAAGGCAGCACAGGTGTAAATAGGTCTGTAACCGTCACAACAAGCAGGACACATCTTTGCTGCTGCTGTACTTTCTTCACAGAACACTCTGATCAGTGTGGTCGTCTACTTTTGCGGCCATAAAACGCCTCTCTGCTCGAGCCAAACTCATTAAAACACTCCATAGAGAGCTCCAACACGGAGGAGTCTCCACAAGAACAGGAGCCCTTACCTGGAAAGAACTGTCCGTCAGCAAGTCCCAGAAGAACCAAGAAGAGAAGAACTGTCCGTGGGGCCACAGAACCACGCAGTCCATCCATGATCAATCAGTTTTTCTTTTCTTTTCTTTTTTCTTTTCTTTTTAGTCAAAGCCTCAGATTATTTTACATACTCCCGTCTGGTCCGTACAGAGAAGCTCCTCGGATCAGGACAGCAGTGACAGTGATAACAACAGTGATACAATCCTCGCATTTGTGGATGAGAAGGGACAGAAGTCACAGGAAGGTGGAGAAAGACAAGTTGGAGTCGAATGAGGAGGGTGTCTGTCTTTCTGTCACCACTCTGGTGGAGGGTTCTGCCTGTGCGTCCGTGCGCTCCCTGTGCCAAAAGAGCGCGTCGGCGGCTGTGCGCGCACTCTGACAGTCTCCGACACACTGACGGTGAGTCGGACAGGAGTGGAGAGCAGTGCGCACCACACGCGGGGCCAGAGACGCGCGTGAAGACGAGCACGACAACGCGAACTGTGTTTCCGGCGTTGGCTTTCAAAATAAAATGATACAGCGATTACGGTGGAGAATATTGATGCTGACGTCATTAGTGGTTGCATTTGTAGAAAACAGAGGTTTTGTTGGCTAAAGCTGTGGTTCACAGACTTGTTGCAGGACGTATAATGTCTAAAAAATATTTGGATCTTCAAATACCATAATGTGTACACATTTTAAATAAGCACAGTACACAAAACAATAAGTTTTTGTCTAAAGACATTGTAAGAATTGTTTTTGTGGTTTAGCAAAAACATGTTTTGGTCTGTGGGAGGAGCTGGTGTACCCACAGAGAACCCACGCACACCCAGGGAGAGCATGCAAACTCAACGTGGAAGGGAAACCTGTGCACCAGTGATTTGTTTTTCATATTAAATCTTTATTGTTGTTACTGTATGTTGCCTGTCCTTTGGTCAATGATCAGATTTCCAAATAACGTAACTTTGTGCTTTCAAAAACACGTCAAGGCTTTTATTTTGAGAAGCGGACGTAATTTTCCCATAATGCCATGTGTCTTTCGTAAACTTGACGCAAGTTAAAGTCTTTGCTGAGTTTCGTCCTGGGTCCTACTGCCTGGTGCCTGCGCTAGGACAGGGTTCTCTCTGTCTGCTTTAACTTGAGTTTCTTTTTCAGTAATTTTATTTTTATTTTAATGGAATTATTTAAAATCTCCAACCTTTACATACTTTACATCAGCGACCTTAAATAAGTATTCAGGGTCAGAAATACTGTAAGAATGTATTAAAATGCCAAAAAATGTTTTTGTTGAGATATATATCATATCTAAAAAATTACAAATATTTGGTCACTTTTATTACTGATGGTGTTAATTTTGGCACACACAGTGAAAACGTGATTAATGTTTTTGCCGTACAGCAAAATAGTAAGGGGTTTGATCCCAGGAGGTAACTTGTGGTTTGTTTATGTTTTTTCCACCCCAGTTTTTCCTTTTCTAAGCTTTTTTTAATCGAGGTAATACGTATTTTAATATAACCTAAGCTTACAAGAAAATATCTGCTGTTTACACAATAGTCAGAATTCTTTGTCACCAACATGAAGTGTCGTTCTCTCATACATATATACATAATACTGTATTTTGACTCAAGTAATGAAAAGCACTGTATACTATATATATGTCCTTAACCCTGAAAAGGTTATTGTTCTTGTATTAGTGAAAGAAGGTCACCGGTTCAAGGCCCGTCTGATTCTCTGTGGAGATTTTCTACATTCTCCTTATGTGTGTTTATCCCAACTATTTCAGTTCATATTTCACTTCACATTACAAACACATACAGGATTAGGTTAACTGTTCACTCAGTGAACTCAGTTGGTGTGAATGTGACTGTGAACAGTTGTCTCTCTATATGAAACCCTGTGTTTTGTTTTGGGTTTTTTTTCTGCCTTTGCGTCTGTGTAGACAAAACTCAAGTCTTTTATTATGTTGTACCTGGTCCTTTATTCTGTCAACAACAAACCCCAGGCTGAAGGAGGGTTTGTGCGTGTGTGTGTAAGTGGTCAGATTGATCAATGTCATATCTCCACTGGGCCATGACACACAAATCCAGCAGTCAGCTCTCTGTGATGTTGGTGACCAGTGGGCCGCAGCAGAACAGCCTGACTGTTCAGAACCTCCAACAGCAGTCAGCCTTTTTTCTGGAAACTTGTTGGGATTTTTGCTCATGAGCAACTCCCAGAGTTTTTGTGATCAGGCCGCACACACTGGACAGTTTGCAACTGTTCAGTGTGAAGAGGTGTGCAGGAGTTATCTGTGTTTGGAAGATGGTGTTTAGAGTGAATGTGGTTCAATAGGTGAAGCTGACACACAGGCCTGCCCCTAACCCTAACCCTAAAATTAAATACAGACTAAGTCTAAATCCAAAACTGCTCCTCCCACAGCTACAGTCTGATCTACACATTTGTTCTCCATGATTGTCCAGAGTTTGGGAAAAATCACCTGCAGCAGTTCAGATGAACAACGCAGCAGCTAAAAAATCATGTTGAATCTTCCCTCCGTCTGCTGCCCTTCAACGTCCCCGCTGACGCTCTGATATTTGTCTGACATTCGTGTCGAGGTGAGCGTGACAGGATGTTAAATTTAGTAAATTCTAGCCTGACAGTGTGGTTTGGGGAGGAGGAAAGAGGAGGTGACATTTTGTCCCTTGATGACTAAAAACTGCTCAGCTCAGCAGAATAAAGGAATCAGAAAGATAAGTGGAAGAGGAAAACGACAGGAAATAAAAAAACCAGTTAGTTCTTCTTCGTCTTCATCAACATCAGTCTTTGTTGTCTCTTTTGTAGAAACAGGAAAAAGTAAGAAGTTTTCATCAGTGTTTGTCCAGGTGAGGTCTACACGAAATAAAATGCTAAAAGGTCACCTGTTATTTCTAGGGTTTGTCTGAGAAAACTAGGGAGTGTGGCCCCAATGTGGCCTAGTGTGTTGTAAACCATCATGGTGTCAATCAAATGTTGAGGGAATCCAACAGGACAATGAATGCATGAACAGCAGAATAGAAATAAGCAGTAAGTTTTATCCAAGTCAAATACCAACGGATTTACTCTGATTATTATATCCAATCATATCAGGTGTGGTTTCCTCTGCAGTGTTCAGTGGAAAGTGAAGCTCTGTTTGGGCTTGACCTTTAAAACCAGCCTCAGCTTCTCCTCTACGCCCAAAACTTTTCTCTGGCTCCACCTCCGTCCATTATATATTTTTATGGTGACAGCTAATGAATATGTTCATTATTTAGTGATGCAGAAATCAATGTCTCATTAACATTTGTCTGAGCCAACATCAGGACAGCAGCTCCTCCATCCTCCTCACCTCCACATCATCACTTATTTATTAGAAATCAATTACACGTCGTTAAAGAATTCCTCCGCAGACCTCCCTTCCTTCCCCCGTCTTCTCCATGACCGTGAAGTTGTAGCTGTAATGATGGATTGTCCTGCAGGTCAACGAGGCCCAGATGGGCTGGATGGAGACCTGAGTGACCAACATCAGTGTAACAGTCTCTTCTTCTCTCCATCACATTTGACTGTAAAACGTAGCAGGTCATTAGTTGTATAACAGTTTTATTGTAATAACAGTAGCGTACCATGGATTCACATCCTTATAGCTCTGTTATGTCAATAGAAACCTTCAATATTATACAGAAATGTTAGATAACTCATGCAGCCATAATAACAACCATTACTGAAGCAACAAACCCACGGAGCACAATTCAGCCACAGCTGGGACATAATGCACATCATAAAACATCGATGATAACAGACTATGATTAGTATATCATAAAAAAGAGTAAATACACTTTAATCACCAAAACTTCTGATTTGTTGTACACAAAATCCATCCTCCTCACTTTCCTTAAGATGAGTTCAGTTACTCCACAGATTATCTGCACATTCCAGATCCACCACTCTGGACCAGCTAGAAAACCCTGCTGTGTCACAACTTTTTTGATTGGTTAAATAAACGCCTCATTGCCATTGACTTTAGGCCCCAAGTACCAGCACTACTGGTTATAAAGGCCTTAGGGCTGATTTATTTCAACCTGGCAAAACATGAGGCTGAAATTTGATTGGATAAAAATGACTTGATTATATGCAAGGCGACGCAGCAAGTCATTTTAATTTAATTTAATAAGAGTAGAAATGTTAGTGTTTTGTTTTGGAAAGACGTGTTGTTAATAGTCTAGAGCAGTGGTTCTCTAACTGTGGTACACGTACCACAGTTAGAGCGCTCTCTAGTGGTACGTGGAGAAAAATAATATTTTCACATTTACAGTTTTCAATTGAATAAATCTGATACATGCTACTCAGAGAGCTCAATGTTTTCTCAGGTGGTAGAGAGTATAAAAAGTTGGAGAACCACTGGTCTAGAGGAGTTTTGAAGCCATAGCTCTGAATGTGTAGATGTTCAAAGTCAAGGCAAAAGGTCAGGAAAAGGTCATTTAGCTGGGCAGAAGAAACGAAAACTGAAGGATCTGGACTCTTTAGAGAGAGGGAACCAGCTGGTCGCTCATCATCTGTATTAGTTCCCAAAACATTTAACCATACACCATGAACTCTCGTACTCATTTGTAGATTTTTTTTTGTAAGTTTTTCCACAGACCATGAACTCTCGTACTCATTTGTAGATTTTTTTTTGTAAGTTTTTTCACAGAAAGTATATATATATATATATATATATATATATATCCCTGTTTATTCACTGATGTCATAGTGAAGGAACACTGTACAAAAATCCACATCCGTTGAAATAACTCGATTATTTTCTCTGTGCAGAAAGATTTGGATCAAGTTTACACCGACCGCTGTTGACATTCAGCAGCTCCTCTCACCAACATGCATTTGTTCTTCCCTCTGTCAAAAGTCAAAAAATAATAACAGTGGCTGAGGTGAGTTTGCCTGCTCAGCAAATCCCCCGCACACAGACACAGCTCGAACCACAGTGTGAGCAGCTGCAGCAGGCAATACGGATGAGATTAAATTATTAATAGTGGTTTTTATTGTGCACCTCTGACCTCGTGGCAGGAATGGCATAAATCAGACCAAAACAATATTTACAGTGAATTGCAGGAACAGGAATTTATGCAGCAATAAAAGCAAAGTCAGTTTTTTGTTTTGTTTTTTTATTATTATTATTCCTCATCCTGTTAGTGTCATCAGGGAGGCAGCAGCCAATCACAGCTGTGGGTGAAAGGCAGAGTCAGGCTGCAGGGTTCGCAGCTTCTCACTGGAGATTAACAGACATTTATACATAATGGCTGAGATTGACCTTAAAAACAGAGTTAGATCTAAAAATGCAGTAGAATGCAGAATAACGGGTTGCCCCTTCTTACCACCGCTATGTAAAAAATATCCTTCATCATAAACACAGGAAATTGTGATGTAATTACTGTAATATAACTATACAATTGTTGCACAATAGTTGACTAACTATAACTATTTTTTATTTAACTTTTACTTACCATTTCTTACCTTA